GTCAGTATCCTCGCAGATAATCGCACTATGCGAATCTAGGAGTACGTTGAGGGAATCCAGACGTATTTTCGTCTAGAGAAGGATGGGAAGGTAGAGAGAGTTCTCCATTCCCAGACTCTCCTCCCAAACCACATGTGTCTATGGCAGAGGTTGCTGGCAAGTGCCTAGGTAGTTGTCCAGAGATTGCTTGTGTTAGAGTCTCTCTAGGCACTTCCCTCACAGGCGTGGCCGAGGAATTGATGGAGAGTGCCTGCCTGGGCCAAGATGAAGAAAAATGCGAAAGGACAACTAGTTTTAGCAGATGTAGAGGTCTTTAGAGGACGAGTAGGGGCCTTGATAGATAGCGGGGCCACTCGTAGTTATATTAGCAGGAAAGCGCTGCAGAAGCTAAAGTTAAATTTGAAAGTCCAAAAGTTAGAAGACCCCGTAGTCAGTATCCTCGCAGATAATCGCACTATGCAAATCGAGGAGTACGTTGAGGGAGTCCTGGCGTATTTTCGTCTAGAGAAGGATGGGAAGGTAGAGAGAGTTCTCCATTCCCTGACTCTCCTCGTAGAGGACAACCTTCCTTTCGACATGGTCCTAGGAATGGATTGGGGAGAGGCAGCAGGGGCCACACTCCACTTGAGAGAGCACGAGTGTAGGCTCCCTAACCATCAAGCGAAGTAAAGATTGCTCGCCTGTTCCATGTTTAAGGAGTAGACAACTCCCTGACACACTACTGTCTCAATGCTCCCACGTTCGCGCGATTAGTAAAGAAGGAACAATTAGAAGAGCAGGTTTTTGTAGCCTATGTTAGGCCTGGTACTGAGCCTAAGGAAGAAAAGCCTATGGAGCCAGTCATTGCCAAGCTGCTGGAAGAGTATACAGATTTAGCTCAACTGCCCGCAGGAGTAGTGTCGCGGCCGATCCAGCATTGCATTGAGATAGAGTCTGACAGTAGAACTCCAAAGGGGGCCGTGTACAGAATGTCCCCAAAAGAGTTAGATGAGCTCCTAGAAAAGGGTTGGATAAGGCCCAGTTCGTCTCCATTTGGAGCACCTGTTCTTTTCGTTCCTAAGAAAGAGGAAGAGCTTAGAATGTGCATAGACTATAGGGTTCTCAATGCCGTCACAGTGAAGAATGCAGAACCACTGCCCCGTATAGATGATCTACTAGATCGGGTTCAGGGCTGCAAATACTTCTCTAAGATAGATTTGAAGTCAGGCTATCATCAGATAGAGGTCCACCCTGATGATCAATACAAGACGGCATTCAAGACTAGATATGGGCACTCCAAGTTTATAGTGATGCCCTTTGGACTAACCAATGCGCCAACCACTTTTCAGCGCTGCATGAATGATTTGTTTAGGCTCTGGCTAGATAGGTTTGTGGTAGTATACCTAGATAATACCTTAGTCTTTTGTAAGACCCTCCAGGAGCATGAGGACCATCTGCGGCAGGTCTTGGAGAAGCTAAGAGAAGCTACCTTCAAGATTAACGCGAAGAAGTGTGAGTGGGCCAAGACACAAGTTTTGTACTTGGGCCACGTCTTAGATGGAGATGGCATAAAACCTGAGGACAATAAGATAGCAACGATCAGGGATTGGCCAACGCCCCGCACACTGACAGAGTTGCGGTTGTTTCTGGGTTAGCCAACTACTATAGGAAGTTCGTGAGGAACTTTTCTACCATCGCTGCACCTCTGCGCAGGTTCCTAAAGAAAGAGGCAATCTGGGAATGAGATAGAGACTGCTCATTGGCCCTGAAGAAGTTAAAGCGGGCCTTAATACAATATCCAGTCCTCAAGGTAGTCGACCCATCTCTACCTTTTGTTGTCACCACTGACGCAAGTCAGTACGGGATACGTGCTGTATTACAGCAAGATGATGGCAATGGGTATAGACCCGTAGAGTTCATGTCTGCTAGAATGCCTTAAGAGAAGGTTGCGACATCCACCTACGAGAGGGAACTCTACGCTCTCAGGCAAGCTTTAGACCATTGGACGCATTACTTGCTTGGGAGGCACTTCAAAGTCTATTCAGACCACGAGACGTTGAGGTGGCTGAAGACGCAGGCCAAGATGACACCTAAGCTTACTAGGTGGGGCGCAGAGATAGACCAATTCGACTTTGAGCTCAAGCCGGTTAAAGGGAAATATAATGTAGTCGCGGATGCTCTAAGTAGGAGGGTTGATTACTTTGGGGCAATAGTTCACTATCTAGATATAGGACGAGACCTGCAACAGAAGGAAGGTTAAGGAAACCTATGTGTAGGATCCTATTTATATTGATCTCCTCAAGAGAGTTAAGGAGTCTCTAGAGTCCGAGTCGGACTACCGCACTACAGATGGGTTATTATTCGAGAAGACTAACGTAGATGATCGTTTGTGCATTGCCAATAATGAAGAGATCCGCAGTTTGATCCAAGGGAAATTCCATGATACAGAGGGACACTTCGGTTGGCAAAAGACATTAGCTAACCTTGTGCGCGCATATACGTGGCCAGGTACGAAGGCTGACTGCATAGGGTATGTACACAGTTGTAAGGCATGCCAACGGAAAAAGTCCACTACACGAGCCCCTCTTGGTCTTCTCAGACCCTTGCCTATTCCCACAGGACCCGGAGATTCTGTGTCCATTGACTTTATGGACGCCGGAGTCAAGAGTAGGCATGGCAAGAGCCAAGTCATAATTATTGTTGATAGATTTAGTAAATATGCAGTTTTTGTTCCTCTACCCGCAGAGGCATGAACAAATTTAGTTATAGACAAGTTCTTTCATCATTGGGTCAGTGAACATGGTCTCCTGCTGTCAATAGTTAGTGACAGAGATACCAGGTTCACCAGTCAGAACTGGCAGGAGTTGATGAGAGTTTATGGTTCTAAGTTACTGATGTCATCTGGCCGTCAACGGTCAGACTGAACAGATGAACAAAATCCTGCAGCAAGTTCTCAGAATGTATATTAGACCTGATCAGCTTAACTGGGATGAGATGCTTCCCAAGGTAGCCAGCGCATACAATAACAGTGTGCACTTAGCGACTTGTCACACTCCCAACGAGTTACATAAGTCCTTTAGACCACGTAGACCGTTTGAGGGACTGAACTGGGATCAGATTCAAAGGCTACCGCCCGGTACTAGGGAGTTTGCACTACACTACGAGAAGGAGATTGCTATTGTCACAGAGAGCATCCGAAAGGCCCAGCATAGAATGATAGAGCAAGCCAATAAGCACCGTCGCCCATCACAGTTTCAAGTAGGCGACTTAGTCTCGGTCAAGTCCAAAGAGTTTGCTCCTGACGAGAACATCTCACAAAAGTTACTGCCTGCATACCGAGGGCCGTGGCCAGTCTTAGAAATCAAGGGCGGAGAGGATGGACCGTCCTACGCAATCAAGATTCCAGCGCACCTCCACACCTATCCGGTGTTTCATGCGTCGGAGTTGCTGCCTTGTACCACAACTCCACAGTTTCCATCACGGAGATCCATGATCCCTCCGGACATGGATGGAATGTACGATATTGACGGCATTGCCAGAGAAGATGTCTTTAGAACAGGAGGTAGGGGTCGTCCACAGAAACAGTATAAAGTCAGGTTCGCTTTTCAGGAACCAGAGGATGACCGCTGGTTTACACGAACAGAACTGCTTGAGACTGCTCCCGAGGTAGTTCGCGCCTATGAGAGAGATAAGAAAGGTAAAGGTCCAGCCTTGGACTGAAGTATTCTCGAAGGACCTCGAATTTAGGCCAGCAGGAGTGAAACGGTTTTTCACCTTTTGCAGACACAGATGCGGATCGCAGGGCTTGGTCCCCAGATCTCACCTTACCTTACCTTACCTGTGTACAGTATCAAGTCGACCCTGTGAGTCTTCAACCCGTGACCTGTGTGTTAGTAGTTGAAGTTGTCTGTCGTAGGTCTGAGTAGTTGTAGGGTCTTGAATGTTAGGCCTGTCGAAATAGGGGTCACACCTGCATAGGGATCGTAGTTGTTGTAGTTCTGAAGGTCAAGGTCGTAGCTGCCACAGTCCTGAAAGGTCAAGGTCGTAGCTGCTACAGTCTTGAAAGGCCAAGTCCGCAAACTTCTGGAAGGTCCGGAAGTGGCCTTTCAAGCTTCTTCTCACGATTTACACAGCAGACCAGAGACCAGTGGGGAAGTGGTGAGTCCAACTTCGCTTAGTCAGCGGTACCCAGTCCTAGTCTTACTTTGTACAGTCAGCAAGTACCATGAGGGACTGTGTGCACCATGGGCCCGGTGGAAAAAGGCAGACCAACGACTTACTGAAGTATAATTCAAGAGGGAGCGTCCAGCCATTCATTCATTCGCTGCGGAAGCCATGCGGAAGCGCTGCCAGCGACTTGTGCGAGGTGGTCTGCAGGTTGCCCGAAGTCGAAGTGGGCTGAAGCAAGGCAGAGTGTCCATAGGCAGTAGTAACCGGCGGCCATAGCCGCCATAGCTAGCGTTAGGAGTTAGTGTATGTGTACGAGTGTGTGACACAGTGAATGCGTGTGGGGTATCCAGGGTGATCCAGAGTTGAGTATGTGCGAACAGTGGTGTTGGACACAGTGACGAGAGTTGGGAATGTACAGGCGCTGATGCGCCATAGCCTGTTGAAGTGAGTTTGCATCTGAACTGTGTTCTCGACTTTCAGATCTCTGAGCTTTGAGTGGGCGCTTGGCGCCAGTTTGAGTTGCCATCCGTTTGCATGTATGTGAAGCGAAGAAGAAAGCGAGTCTGATTGCACACCCGATAGAGACAGACAAATAGACAGACAGATCGACGGATAGGAAGAGACCAGGACAACGACAAGCATAGAGAGAGACACAGCCATTCCAACCAAGATCGACCGTACAAGCAATTGATCTTCATGACAAACAGACACACAGAAACGTAACGACCAAGATTTGGCAACAAGGACACCAAGATTTGGCAACAAGGACACAGAGCTTCCTGGAAGAATCTGCAGAGTCTTTTGACAGCTGAGCGAAAGAAAAAGAAATCTCGCAGGTGCTGTCAGCTTACCGCAATGACGAGAGTGAATCTGTCAACAATTTGCAGCTTGTGGGATAACTCGTCCGCTTCAATTGCATTCTTTACGACATAGAACATAAACCAGATACCTGGATGTCATTGCACATAACAACTGCCATGCGTTAAGTCCAAATGAACCATCACAGCAGACTGAAACAATTGACCAGTTTGCACATCTCATCTTTTTTTTTTTTTTTTTTTTTTTTGGACCATGTTTCAATTTGTGTGTGTCATCCTTGCGCAGGGGCCATGCTAATCGTCTCTGCGCCGTTCCAATTTTAAGAGAGGTCCTGAAGGACGATGAGTTTGTAGTACTTCGTACATCTATTCTTGCTGTCGTTTCAATTTCCATTCAACTATTTTATCTTGGAAGCTAGACATCAACGTTTGATTCTTTTTTTTTTCTTTTTTTTTTGGGGGGGTGGGGGAGGGGGTGTGTTGGATGCTTTATTAGTATGCGGAAAAAAAAAACCTGGACCCAGACCGAGACCAAGGAATCCTCACAAACAACCCGGAATTCTTGGGGCCATTACCCAGCTTCGGCTATTGCTGGAAACCGGGTCCAGCGTCCCTTTTCCTTTCAAGTCACAAACTTTCCAAAACCCATTATGCTCAAAGAATATAAGATCACCAATCGTTTCTTCTACTAGTATTAAACGAACCACCAGTACGTTTCTCAGCCATTTTGCAGAAACACACCGTGCATGCTGCTGCCTTGGGCGGGATGTACCGGGGTGCAGTTTAGCTGGACATCCATCTAGGCAAAATGGGTCGCATGCGAGGCCCGTTTGCCTGGATGAATTTCCAGTGAAGCGGCAACCCTGTACATTCCGCCCGATGCCGCAGCATGCACGGAGCGCTTCTGCAAAATGGCCGGGAAATGTACTGGTGGTTTAAAGTTTAAACACTCAAAACAGGCAAGGCACATGTTATGATCCTGGAAATCTCAGACCGCAAAACTCAGAAAGAGACAACACTGTTCAATTGCGACTCAAACGAAAGCGATTCGAAAGAGAAATAGACAAGGGAAGAAGAGGAATGGAGAATGGAAGAAGACGAAGAAGATGAACATAAGCTGGTACCAATGCCACTCCTCCCTCAACACGTTATCATCTATCTCCCCCATCATCTCCAGCAACATCTTATTTATTTAAAATAATAACAACCGGAGACCCGCTGCAGGCGTAGCCTGCAGTGCAGAGCCACTCCTCCTCCACAGCCCCAGGTCAAGCAGGCTGGCAGCATCTCCAAATCTGCATACTATGTACTTGTATTATCCCAAAAGGAAACCCCGACTGCAAAGCAACTTGGGGCGTATTCGAACTTTGCACACCTTAAATGTATCTGGCTGCGATTACAGCCCGACCTGGATATATAGGACCCCACAAAAGTCCTGGTGTGAGAACTCGCTCAAAGATCTTAGTTCTATTTCGTCCCGCTGAGCTCCAACCGATTCAGGGCCTTGCTCCACTACTCACCATATGCACAAAAGCGAAAAATAGAGCGGTGTACCTTCCCATGTTCTAGTGGAAAATTTGTTATTTCCATCCAAGGGGTACTCTACCCAGTTCCACTGCACTTAGGGCCTCGCTCCACGGCTCACAACATGCGCGAAAGACAAAAAAATACGGCGGTGTATCTTCCCATGTTCTAGCGAAACATTCCTTGTCGTTTGAATCCACGCCCCAAAATGCAGAAAAAAGAAAGGTCTCTCAGGGCGTGTCCATCCACACGCCCTCAGAGATCTTTCTTTTTTCCGCATTCCGGGGCAAGCTCCAACAGATTCGAGATCTGTCCTGCTTACTAACAATGGGCCTCACTCCACTACTCTCCAAATGTGCAAAATCAGACTGAATCCTCTGCTAGAACATGGAAAGATATACCGCCATAATGCTCTAACAGCCTCTTGATCATGGAGATGTGCATCTGACGAAACTCAAATGATTTTCTGCTCATCTCCATACACACGTCCGGAAGCAGGCGTTAAGGAAACTCAACGCTGCTAATAGGACTTAGAGAGAGAGAGAGAGAGAGAGAGAGAGA